CACAACACCCGGTGTTGTGAAGGGGAAGAAGGTCGGGACCGGCTCCTCGTCGCCGCCAGGCTGGCCGAGGCGAGGGCAGCGGGCGGGCTGCACCTGCGCCCGCCCCTGACCTGCACGCCCCGGGCACAGGCCTGCCGGGCAAGTCCACGTGGCGCCGCTGCCCGAGGTCCGTCCCCCGAGTCCGCCAGGCCCTGGCCGCCCCTCCTAGGCCGTTCAGCTCCACCGGGGCCCACGCTTTACCATGATGGTCGCCCCCGGCTGCAGGCCGCCCTCACTTGCTCTCAGTCCAACACAGGCGCCCAACGGCCGGCCCACCACGCCGCATGCCATGTCCTGATTGGTTCACCTCCTGAGCGACTGCCATTGGCTCTGGTCGCTTTGGGGCGGGGCCTCGGCCGGGGTTCCTATCGCGATTGGCCATTTTCTTCGACCCCGGGCGAAGTCATCCTTCTGATTGGTCGTCACTTCGAGCGGGAAGTGGTGACCCCGCACTGGCCGTACAGCTGCGGAAAGTCATGCTTTGTTAGCGGGAGCGGGCAGGGCTGGGCTTAAGGGGTTGGCTGGTGGTGAGGGGCTGCAGAAGGGAGAAGGGTGCGCCCGCTGTAGTTTATACCTCCTGAGTACCGTAAGTTCTGTAAAATGCAGCCTCATTACTGAGCTTTACAGGGACATCGGGAGTTACAAGGGCTGGTAACCATGAAAGAGCTTTGCAGAGTTAAGCTCGTGCAGATACACGTAAGGGCCACTCAGCAACCTTCTACTGATGCTAATGGTGGTATCCCGTGCTGGTAAGCATTGTAAGTCCCTGGCTAACCCCACTCTTGCATGATCACGTGATGTGGACCTTGTGATAAGTTCCAGAAAGGAAGTGGCTGGGAAGCTTTAGCAAGGAAGGAGGGAGGGGTTAATTTCCCTCCGGAGACTTTGAGACTTCTGAGCAGGGGGTGTCGAAGAAAGAATCTTGAGGAGTTTTCCAGGCCACAGAGAGGGATGGGTGAGGCGGGCAGAACAGTCATGAGGACAGGGAGGACTTTGAACTGGAAGGTTTGTGGGGTACATGGAGAAGGTGACACTGGAGGTTCTGGGCAGGGCTGGCATGACCCCAGTCAGACCAAGGAATCTGGCTTTCTGGGGTGGGCTGAAGCCCGCCAGCAACAGATGAAGATGGGATTGGCCATTTAGGGGTTGCAGTGTGAAG